CGCTCCACGTGGCGCCACGGGCACCGTCAGCCACGCGCCTGCCGACGCGAGGAGGCGGGGCCCGAGTTCTGGGGTGAACGCCCACGTGCCCGGAGGGGGACAGGGGCCCAAGACAGTGTCCAAGAGCCACCCCAGCGGGCCTTCCAGGGAGGTGGAAAAGGTGCCTGGTACCCTCAGCTGCTGGGGTAAGTTTCATAAGGTGTATCTGTCAATGTTGATCATTTATATCCCTGGCACACTTCTGAGATAGGTTGGATCACTTTACACACATTTACAGAGAACCTCCCCATCCCTCCCCTCCCCCCGCCAACTGTGTTTAAATGGGGAAGATGTGGCACTGCGATCAAGTGAATTGCCCCCTAGTCATCTGGAGGTTTCCCCAAAGGTCCTAGTCCAACTCGTTTCATCAAGGGTTGTGGTAAGAATATTGTATTTTAAAAGTGTCTTAAATCTCTGACAATCGGAACGCTTCCAAAGGCGAATGCACCCTTAAAATGAGAGCACAGAGTTTCTCCCTCTTTCCTACTTTGTGTTTTCCTCAAAGGGCACATTCCTGAACAGGTACATAGTGCTGGGCACGGGGGGTGGAAGGGCAGCACTTGATTGGAGGTCAGTGACAGGAAGACATCTTGCCTTTCTGTAGTCCCTGACATTTCTGCTGAGCCTATTTATTATTCGTTTTTTCATTCATTAAATGTTGGCTACTGCTATGGTCTGAATGCGATTCTCGAAATTCATGTGCTGGAAACTTAATCTCCAATGCAAGAGTGTTTGGAGGTGGGGCCTAATGGGAGGTCTTCAGGTAATGAGGGCTCTGCCCTCGTGAATGGATTAATGCCAGTTTAAAAAGGGCTTGCAGGATTGGGTTTGCCTTCTTCTGCTCTTAGGCCATGTGAGGACACAGCTTTCCTCTTTGGCTTGCCCTCTGCCTTCTGCCATGTGAAGGACTCTGTAAGAAGCCCTCCCCAGGTGTTGGCACCTTGATCTCAGACTTCCCAGCCTCCAGAACTGTGAGAAATAAATTTCTGTTCTTTATATATTACATAATCTGTGGTATTCTGTTATAGCAGCACAAAATGGATTAAGACAGCTGCTTAATGTGCCAGACATTCCCTAGATGTGGAGGAAGACATCATCCCCTACCTAGTCGCATTCACAGCCTTACGGGAGAAACAGATATATGAGCAAATAATTAGAGCACACCGTGATAAATACTAGAGAAGGGGGAGCCCAGAGATTCAGAGATGGCTTTAAAAAGAGAGTTGTCATTTGACTTGTGCTTTGAAGGACCAAGGATGAAGTAAGTAGCTCATCAAGAAGAGGGGTGCAGGATTATATGAGGAAGAGGGAATAAAATACGGAGAGGCCTGAGACACCCTGTGAGAAGGCCCCGCATGTGAGACATGACAGGAGAGGTATCTGGCTGGGAGCCCACCTTGCAAAAGGGCTTTCTGTGCTATGCTAAAGATTCTGAATTTTATGATCCTCAAAGACAGAACCATGACTTTTATTTACTTTTTTAGAACCATGACTTTTAAAGTACTGGAATGGTATGACCAGATTTTTGTGTCAGAAATTGGTAAAGAGTAGAAGCTGGGTGGGTTGGTTAGCCTATTGCAAAGGCTCGGGTAAAAAATGATGGCTGGAAAAAAAGCTCCAGCAGGAGCAGGGGGAGCAGAAGGGAGGGAGAGCTGACAGTATTTACTGCTTGAAAGTGGAAAAGTGAGAGAAAAGGAGGAGTTCTTGGAAATCTGATGGTGCTGCAACATGAGTTAGAAAATAGATGAGGGGAGGAGTTCTTTTAAGTGAGGAATGAGAACATGGAAAGTGTTACATTTTGAGTACTTTGGGTTTGAAGTGCATGGAAAATGCAAGAGAAGTAAAACTGCTCTCAAGTAAGTTACATCTAGTACCTTGGCATTTAAGATCCTCATGTACTTAGAACAAATTAGGTAAACGTGGGTGTAGCTAGAGCCAAGGGACAGGGGCCTTCTCCACTTGAGGCTTGTTCTGGTTCTTCTCTTAACCCACACTTCTCCTTGTAATTTCTCATCTGCTTTCCCTGTCAGAATATAAGCTCCTGAGAACAGGGAAGTATATTCCTGGAACATGAGATAATAACTACTTGATAGGGACAGCCTGTGGCTCACTCGGGAGAGTGTGGTGCTGATAACACCAAGGCCACGGGTTCGGATCCCTATATAGGTAGGGCTGGTTATCTCACTTGGGAGAGCGTGGTGCTGACAACGCCAAGTAAAGGGTTAGGATCCCCTTACCGGTCATCTTTTAAAAATAAAAATTAATAAACTACTTGATGAGTGAATAAATTTAATTTCTTTTGTTTTAATTTTCTCAAGAAATTGGGCCAGTTAACACCATCCCTGTCTATCCCATAGGGTTGTTAAGAGTATCAAATATGAAAAATTGTAACATTGTACACCTTCCAGTTTATTTATTACTGTTATTTTATTATTACTTTATTTGTAATATTCTATTTCACCAATAGGGAGAAAGGAGTGGGATATGTGACAATGGATTAGAAAAATCAAATACCAGACATATAAGCTAGTTTGTCCCTCCACAGAAGTCAAGGAAGTAATTCAGCCATGGTATCTTTCCTGCATGTGATAAAAAGTGATTCTTTTTCGACTGGCACTTGAAAATAAGGCTGGACATGACCAGGAAGTCACATAGGAAGTGGAACATTTAGGGTTGGTCTGTAAGAATGCAGGGTTGAGGACTGTTTCTTTAGATGCTGTCTTTCAGTTGTCTTAGGCTTAAGTTATTTTGACTTCAAGTTGTTTAATTACAAGAAAACAAACTCATTCAAACAAGGCAATTTACTGGAAGGAGTAATTTACAGTCTCCGAGGGCAGGAGGTAAAACTGGGTCTCACAAGGGGTGGGGCAAGGAACTGGAAAGTTAAGAAACAAGACTGTCCTCCATCTCTGTCTCTTGTTTACACTTCTCTTTGCAATCTGCTTCCTTTTCCCTCCTTTTCTTTGAATGTAGACTCTCCATTAGTAAACATGTGCTGCGAAATAGCTTCCCCATCCCTAAAAAATTCTTACAGGGCCGAGCCCGTGGCGCACTCGGGAGAGTGCAGTGCTGGGAGTGCAGCAGCGCTCCCGCTGCGGGTTCGGATCCTATATAGGGATGACCGGTGCGCTCACTGGCTGAGCGCGGTGCGGCCGGTCTCAAAAAGGACAAAAAATAAAATAAAATAAAATAAAAAATTCTTCCAGTTAGTGCCTACTCCTGACTGAATTGTGGTCTTGGTCTCACTTATAGATTCCTGGGATAGAAAATTTTACTGGCCTAGCTTGGTTCAACATTCCATTCTTGGTCCAGTCAGCTGTGGCAGGGAGAGGAGCGTCTTGCATGTAAAGTGAACATGAACTGGGCCCACCCTTTCGGCAGAGCTCTGAGTGATGGGAATTTCCAGAGAAAATTCATGAGTTGGCAATGATCGAACAAACACTTAAGTGAAACTCATTTCAGCCACACTATGCAACATTACTTTATAGCTTCACAAACCGAGCTGCACATCAGAAGTACCAGAAAAGCTTTAAAACAAAATAAAACAAAACCCAGATTCTTAGAGCCCTCACTTCCCAGGCCCTCGCTTCCACTGGTGAATCAGAATCTCTGCATGTAGGGCCCAGGAATCAGTATTTTTATAAAGCACCCCAGAAGATTACATTGTGACTGGCATTTGGGGACCACTGCTTTAAAAGGCAGGCCTAGAATACTAAACAAACACCTTGATAGAAAAGGGAAATTACTCATAAATAAGGAATATTCCTACATACAATAAATGGGGAGGTTTTTTTAGAGAGCAAATTTCTATTTTCTTCAAAATAGTCTTGTGTTCTGATTATAAAAATAAGAGATGCTATTATTTCAAAAAGACCCATTTTTTTTTTTTTTCTTTTTGTCTTTTTCTGTGTCTGGCAACGGATCGCAACCCTCAGTGTCACCCCCGTACCGGACCGGGACCGGCAACGGGATCGCAACCCTCGATGTTGCTCCCGCGCCTCGCTCAGCCAGTGAGCGGGAACCGGTCTGTATGTGGGATCCGAACCCTCGGCAGGAGTGCCACCACGCTCCCAGGCGGTGCACTATAGCAGTGCGCCACCGGGCCGGCCAAAAAGACCCATTTTTAACTGTAGTCTTGCAGTCGGCGGGAGCGCCACCACGCTCCCAAGCGGTGCACTATAGCAGTGCGCCACTGGGCTGGCCAAAAAGACCCATTTTTAACTGTAGTCTTGCAGTTTTTGTTTGTCTAGGTACACATGTATAAATATTTCTTGTCTTACAAAAATAGGACCACAGAGTATGTGCACTATTTTGTAGTCTGTTCACTTGAAAACAGATCATGAAATGTTTTCCTATGGCAATAAAAGCAGATCTACACAATTTTCAATGGTTGTACAACCTTCCAATCTATGGAAGCAATGGGATTCCAATTTCTCCACTCAGGAATGATAATAGGAAATTATCTTTTAAAGCAGTTTTCTCTGCAAGCCAGAATCTCTGAATTGGCCATGTATGCAGGGCCCTTTCTAAGTTGCCATGGTCTTACACTCAAAAAATAGGTTTCATGCTGAACTCACTACTATTGTCAGTGCCACAAAATTGGGGTCTTCAGAGCATATCTCCTTACCACAATGGAGGGAAGGAAAGAAGTGGTCGGGTCATTTGCTAGTAGAAAAGGGAGCTGGATTCTACATTCATTTTGGAAAGTGAGTAAGGAGAAAGAATTGCTTTCCGCACTCGGGCCTGGACAAAGGGTGTGGCCAAGCCTTGGGTGACAGCAAGAGCATGTTCCTCTTCCTGCCGGGCCCGACTGTGACTGTGAGCAGATGGATGAAGATCTTACAAACCTTTTGTTAGGTATTCCACAATCAGAAGGGCTGGAGGAAGACGCTTTGCCTTCCCAGCTTGAATAGTGAATCAATGTGTACCTGGTGGCCTGCAGAGCCCTAGAGAAACAGCTATGATGGATAAAATATTTTTATTGCTTTTCTAAAATACAATTTTTTATGTACAAAGATTCCTTCAGTTAGGTCCTCTATTATCCTAAATGCTCTTCTCTGGTCATGAGCATTGGTAAGGCTTTAGCCAAGATAAGTAGGCTGCTTCAGAGCTTCCCATAGGGAGAACTGAAATCTGATTATTCTCTTTTCTTCACTTAGGCTCTAGGTTGACAACTCCAAGCAGTAAGAGGCACAGGATAAGGATGGGAGAGACTGCACCTTTTTGAGAGTCTACTCCTCTGCTGAATACGACTTGGAAGGGAAAGAAAAAGTCGAAAGGCATTTTCCAGTCCATTCTGGGTTGGCCCCTTGGAGGCTCTGGCTTCTGAGTAATGTCCACAAAGTTTACAAGAGTTGTCAAAGATACTTCTGTTTCCTGTTGGGAATCCTACAGGAAGAAAGTCAATGACAGGTCAGTGCTTGGTACCCATTCATATAGCCCTACAACACGGCTGTTATTATTACTTTCCCTGAAAAAAGACCAAAAACAAATCGCCCTTAGCAAGATAAATCTTTTGCTGATATTGGTCCTGTGTAGTTCTCTTTCTATGAGACACAAGGAAATGAATTTCTTAGCAACAGTCCATATTAGAACTGTGAACAGTTATACCTACCTAAAGACTGATCCTAGCTTCCCCCATTGGGGAGCTGCCTGATGTCAGAGAGGCCAGATGGCAAAACTGTAGCTGTTACATGCATAGCTGCTCTACCCAATGAGGTCCCAGAGGCTCTAGACTCTGAAACAGTACACATGGACAAGTGGAAATAGTAATGGCAATTCTATTCCTTCTTAAATTACAGAAAGAAATTCTACAATTTAAGAAATTTCATGGAAAAAGCAAAGAACTCAGTAATGTTGATTTTAAAAAAACCATCAGATTCACAGACTCTTAGGGTTAGAAAGGATCCTCCCAACCACCCATAAATGAAAGTCAAATAAAACAGATGCTCCCAGGAGAAGAGAACTTGTCAGGCTGACTCAAGTATTTAATCTAACAGACATAGCTTTTGGTAGATATGGCTGAAGCTTGATGATGTAGAACAGTGGAATTATGTTCATCTGAAATGAATTCCTTCTGTTCTAACTCTGTGCTCACCAAGCAAACTTCTGATTATACCTTGACAGTAAATAACTATTTCGGGCCGGCCCCGTGGCTCACTCGGGAGAGCGTGGTGCTGACAACACCAAGTCAAGGGTTAAGATCCCCTTACCGGTCATCTTTAAAAAATAAATAAATAAATAAATAAAAAATAAATACTCAAGGGTTAAGATCCCCTTACCGGTCATCTTTAAAAAAAAAATAAATAAATAAAAAATAAATAAATAAATAACTATTTCGTGGAAACTGAAATGAAGATTTTCTCCATTCACCTTCGTTCACTCTGATGCACACATTATCTGCTGTGGTCTTTAGCAACAGTAAGCACCAGGCTCTGAGAACATAATTTTGCTTGGAATAACCCTTCTAGGGACTATAATTTTTTTTTTTTTAAATGGAAGTGCAGGTCATATTAACTTTTTGGATTCTTTTTTTTAACCTGTGAAGCTCATGAGGGACTTGGAATATAACTAATATAACTTCTGAGGCACTGAAAGAACCACATCCATTCCAAGGATGGCCAGCCTGGGCTGAAGCTGCTGAGGGAATCTGATTCCAGTTAGGCATCAAAAGTTGTTAATATCTTAAGGAAATAGAGAGTAAGAATGAGCTCTTAGATATTAAAAACATAATAGCCAAAATAAAAAATTCAGTAAAAAGGTTAAAAGATAAAGTTAAGGAACTCTTCTAGGAAGAACAAAAAGACAAAGAGACAATGAGAGAAAAGAAAAAAAAAATTGAGAGTCAATCTAGTGACGCTTATCAGATTAACAAAAGTTCCCAAAAGAGAGAAGAGAGAAAATGGTGGAGGTGGGAGGGCATTATTAAACATATAATAATTGAAATCTCAGAGACCCGAATTTCCAGAACAAAAAAATCCCACAAATTGTTCAGTATAATGAATGAAGAAAAAGACCTACCCAAGGCATAATATTGTGGAAACAATACTAGGAATAAAAAGAGATATTAAAATGGCTTCTGAACATCAGTATTGGAAACTAGAGGACAATGGAAGAATACCTTTAAAATTGTGAGTGAAAGGCCGGCCCGTGGCTCACGCGGTAGAGTGTGGTGCTGATAACACCAAGGCCACCGGTTCGGATCCTATATAGGAATGGCCGGTTAGCTCACTGGCTGAGCGTGGTGCTGACAACACCAAGCCAAGGGATGAGATCCCCTTACCCGTCATCTTTATATAGGATAAAAAATAAATAAATAAATAAATACAATTGTGAGTGAAAATAATTGTCAATTGGGAATTTTATACCTAGCGAAATGATAAATTAAGCATCATGATGATGATGGCTGAAAAAAGTTATTTTTAGATATATGAAGGAAAAAAATGTACTTTACATGCACCTTTCCCAAAGAGGTTATTAGCAACTAGTCCATATTATATCAGGTTATGGAGGTCTCCATGAAGAAAATCATAGGAAAAAGTGGAACTGATAGATTACATGGCAAGTTCAACTCTTTGGAAAATTTCATTGAAATTGTATAGAGCTGTTGGAGAATGTGAGAAATCTTAGCTATTTCCTCAAAGAAAACTAAGAGTGAAATATGAGGTAATTATTAATTTCACAAAAAATTCTACAAAAATTGAACTACTTGGTTCAGCATGAGTATTTACATAATCATAATAATGAAACACTGACCATTGATTTAATAAAATATTTTGAGGGAACCATTGGGAGAGTGGTGGGAGAGACAGGAGAATAACAGAGTGGAACTCACCTACAAAAATAGGAAGTCAATACATTATCTCTGAGACTGATGATTCAAGAGATAACGAAGTACACATATTACTTAGAAATCAAGGTAAATCCCAGAAGAAACAGCTAAAAGAGTTAAACAGGTAATTTCTGGAGAGCAGGAGGGTAAGAGGGGATATAGGACTTTTTACTGGGATTTTAAAAAATATATGTATGTATTATTTTGATAAATTATACAATTATCTAGCATCAGCCCAGTCTGCAGGGGAACTGCAATATAAGGTGGGCTTCACAGACCAAACAACTTGCTTTGTCCCAGCCCAAGAAAAGGGGGGTGGGCTTTCATATTTCTGCTCCCTTAAGTCATTGGTTAAGGGCCATCAGGGGATGTAAATTCCCAGGCACTTTACAGGTAAAGTAGGTTCTAGTAAACAAAACAAAAAAGGAAGAAGACCACAGGCATACCCACCAAAAAAGGGGGGCAGGGGATGAAAAATACCAGGGTTACTGCAAAAAGCAAAATTACATTTGGGGATAGTCAACAGGGTACCATATTTAAGATATAAAAGAACTAGATGAAATGCCCAAATTAAAAACCTATCCATCATCCTTGACTCCTTCTTTCTCAGCCTCCACATCCAAGCAATCAATCAAGTCCTACCTGTGGCAGCCCTAAATCTTTTGAAGTCTGTGTACTTTGTACAGCCCTCATAGCCCCCATATCCCGGACCTGGGTTCTGGCCATCAGTATCTCCTGGCGAATTTCTATAGCAGTTTAAACTGCTATAGTTTACAGTTTATAGCAGCATAAACTGTCCTTTATAGCAATATAAACTTCACCTCAGTATTGCCTCACACGTTGCAGGGGTGATGTTTGTCTGTTCACCAGTCCATACCTAGCTCCCAGCATAGTACTTGGCACAGAGTAAGCATTCAATAAAGCCTTTTTTTTTTTTTTTTAGACAAATGAGCAGAGGTATTTTTGGAGACAGGGAACTAATACAAATAAAAAGAGATAATAAATCACAAGGTAGAAAGTATGTCATAGCTATTTAAGGGTCAGTGATTACAGATCTACTTGACCCCATACCCTTTCCACCACACTGTTAAGTGGGATCCCTAAATGTTGTGCTTAATCCATTCATTCAACTATGTATTTACTAACGGATGTTTCAAATGAAATGCATATTCTTCATTTATTAAAAAAATTGCCTCCATAATTGTGTGGAGGTTTGGAACAAAGGCAGCCCACTAGATAGTCCAATGAAAAGGAACTTAAATTGCATTTGCTGGGTCACTGGATAATACTGAGTGTTATTGACCCATTTGAGAATTTGAGTTTTAGTACTACACGAAGAACAAGGTTTTTGAGTTACATTCGGTATGTTATATTTGAATTCTGAAATCTAAAGTTTTTCCATTTGTATTTTAAAAGTTATGTACAGGCGACATTAGAGAATTCACTGTGTAGCATGTGCAGCAAGAAGAGCATTGGAAAAAAACTCCCGCAAAGTCTGGTCATCTCATTTCTTTTATCAAGACAGACAAAAGACACATAGCCAGCTCAGCACATTTCTTTTACTGTGGATCCTGTTCAGTTATGTATGGTTGATTTAACTTATTTCTGCTTTAAGCTGTAATATTTTATGATGTTTGCTTCAGAAATTACCACTACCAATTCTGTTTTAACACTTTGTGAGGCTTGGGAGATTTATTTGCTTCAATTCAGTTTATGATGCAGCAAAATCCTTTGTCTCAAAATAAGTTTTACTTTGTAACAACATGAAGAGGTGGAATAGGTTTTTTTTGGCTTCTGTAATATAAAGTACACCCTATATATTATTATATTACATCTTTATAATCACAATTTTTTAACCACTATATACATTAATCCCCTATGTCAAATCGTTACAAATGAAAAATACCTTTGTTAAAGAAAAAGCTGTGGATACTGTCTCCTAGATTTATGTTTTCATAGCTACATTCAGACTATAAACTAGAACAAATTCATCTTTGGCTCAACTATGTAACTCATTATTGAGCTGTAAGAGTTCTTTATTCTACATATGTGAACCTAGATTTATGTTTTCATAGCTACATTCAGACTATAAACTAGAACAAATTCATCTTTGGCTCAGCTATGTAACTCATTATTGAGCTGTAAGAGTTCTTTATTCTACATATGTGAACCTTGTCAGATACCTATTTTGCAAATATTTTCCCCTAGTCAGTGGCTTTTCATTTTTCTTAAATGTTTTTTTGTTTGAATATTTTTATTAAGGTACAATTTATAAACAATAAAAAATATACATCTTAAGTGTTTAGTTCAATGAGTTTTTGACAATTCTATATGCTATGTAGTCAATACCCAAGACACGCAGTGGAATGTCTGTCATCTCAGAGTTCCTTTGTGCTCCTTTCCAGTCTATTCTCTGTCCTTCTCCCAGAAGCAACCACTTCCTGACTTTTACCACTAAAGGTTAGTTTTGCTTGTTCTTCTATTTCATATAAATGGAATCTTACAGTATATTTTGGTGTATGTGTTTGGCGTCTTTCACTCAAGATCAGTGTTTTTG